TCAGGCTGGATATTAGGAAAAAATTTTTCACTGAAAGGGTTCTCAGCCATTGGAATGGGCTGCCCAGGGAGGTGGTTGAGGCCCCATCCCTGGAGGTGTTCAAAAGCCGGGTTGATGTAGTGCTGGGAGGTCTGGTTTAGTGATGATGCTCCTTGTTTGTTGTGTGGGTGTCTATTTTTGTCAGTGAGGTTGACGGTTGGACAAGATGATCTTTAAGGTCCCTTCCAACCTAGAAGATTCTGTGATTCTGTGAACATTGACTGGCCTTGACTGGCCTTTTCTGCTTCTCCCACCGCCCTGTCAGCAGGTAGGGAGCAGAGGGGCACAGAGGTGGGAGGGGACACAGCCAGGACGGCTGACCCCCACTGAGCAAAGGGACATCCCATGCCGTATGGCATCATAGTCAGTATATTGAGCTGGGGGGAGAAGAAGGAAGGAGGGGATGTTTGGAGTCACAGTGCTTTGTCTTCCCCAATCCCCATTACCTCTGCTGGAGCCTGGCTCCCCTGGAGGTGCTGAGCCCATGGGGAGCAGGGAATGGATTCTTTATCTTGCTTTGCTTGCGTGTGGGGCTTCTGCTTTATCTATTAAACTGTCTTTATCTCAACCCATGAGGGTTCCTTATGGTTTTGTCCGATTCTTCTCCCCATCCCACTGGGGCCATGGGATGAGAACTCGCTGAGTGGCTGTGTGGTCCTGGCAGCTGGCTGGGGTTAAACCATGACATAGTGTTCAAGGCCAAGTTGGACAGGACTTGGAGCAACCTGCTCTGGTGGGAGGTGTCCCTGCCCGGGGCAGGGGGTTGGAACTGGATGGTCTTGAAGGTCCCTTCCAACCCAAACCATTCTATGCCATCTATTACTGATGAGATGTGATACACAAGGGCTAGAGATGTGCAGTGCTGTAATGGCTGAAATTCAGAGAGAAACTGCAAATATTACAGTGTCTCACATTAAGCTCAGTATTAGTTAATAAGGAATACTGCCTCATTTCTCTCCCTGAGTTTTCATTCACACATTGCCTTCAAACACAAAGGAGCCTTCTGGAATTGAGGTAACTTTATTACTGATGAGATGTGATACACAAGGGCTAGAGATGTGCAGTGCTGTAATGGCTGAAATTCAGAGAGAAACTGCAAATATTACAGTGTCTCACATTAAGCTCAGTATTAGTTAATAAGGAATACTGCCTCATTTCTCTCCCTGAGTTTTCATTCACACATTGCCTTCAAACACAGAACAAAGGAGCCTTCTGGAATTGAGGTTGGTTATCCTAACTGTATTTTCTATGGAAGTATTTGGGTTTTGGCATGAACTTGTCAGGTACCATACGTCTATGAGCTGTTGATTAATTAGGGATCGCCCTTATATTTACTACCAGATGTTTTCTGCTTCAAAAGGGAAATTACATTTCCAGGTATTTGAACAGCTGCATCATGTGCAAAATTGACATGGTTTAACATAGTATGCACCTGCCTTGGAATTTGGGTGTTCTTCAGTGGAAAAACATGAACTAGTTTCATATGTATAAAATGTATGAGGCCACTAACGATCGTCACACATATATAAAACCACAATGGAAGCAGAGTGATGAAAAGGTTGTCCTAAGAATTGAAGAAAAAATTAAAAATTGCTCCTCTCTGCGGTTAGTAGGGAAGATTTATGTGTGCCATGGGAATATCTGGCTTTTAATTCATGTCAGGAGGTAGCTCTACGGTGTCAGAGACAGTTTCTGTACAAAGAATGCCCCAGTTCATAGGTGCTCCCTGGCATTGGGGAGTGTACAGTTCCTGCCAAATGCTATAAAATGCTGCAAAGGTTGAAAAAAAAGTCCTAACCCACACCAAAATAGCTCGCAGCATTTCGATGTTATGGATTCAGAGGAGGTTGGTGATTTTTCTGTGTCATTGAGCCATGGTGCAAATTGGCACTATTGCGTGCGGGTGTTTTGGGCTGATGGGTGTAGTCTAGGCTGCCCCCTCTGTGGTGTCTCATGAACAAGTTCCACATTATTATTAATATTCTTGCTGATGAAGATAAGCATAACTGAATATAACCTTTAGTCAAAACCAGATGAATTAGCTTTTGTTTTCTATGTTTATCAATTGTATGTTTTTGATGTATCTGCCTGATAAATTTGAAGTAATTGTACTTAAGAGGTGTTTCTATTTCATAGTTAATCACAAGATTTCTAAATATGTTCGTTATAAAGCACATTATAATCACGAGACACACATGTTATCTTTTTTTCCCTCCAACACACACAGGTTGCTGGAAAAAAGGAATGTGCAATGGAGATTGTTAATATGGAAGTATCCTAAGAAATGGCATACCGTTTGAGAAAATAAACACACTAGACTTTGGCACGAAGGATGATTAATTTTACCATGAATTAATGGAGACAGGTAAGCTGAAAATCACTTTTCCTTCTATTCTTTCTCTCATTGATATCGTGTTTCTACTAAGGTCTGCTCTTATTTTCTTTCCAAACTTTATTCTTGGCTGTTCATCTGTAACTTTTCATAGAATCATATGTGGTTATGTACGACAAAAAAATGTTCCAAGAGGTGATTGGTGACCAATTTTTAGGACAGGTCTCAAACTCACTTTTAAATGGGTAACCATAGGCTCTCCATTGGTAGCAGAAGTAAATGATAGGGAATGGCTTTCTTGGGACTCCTCAGTTACTCTTGTAGCCATGTTTTTTTGTGCTTAAAGCATATTCTGGATCTGAATTCCAGTTGCATCAATAACGAAGAAAGCGTTTGGAAACCTCTTGTATGGTCTCTTCTTCTTTCTGACTTCTGCAGCTTCATAAAGTAATTAAAGGAAGCCAAGGCTGTATGCTGTTAGAGCTCCAAGCTAAAGAGAATAAGCATTAAGCAACATAGAATGAATTTTTAAAAGGCACAGCCTCCTTCCTTTTTATCATGTTAGTATCAGAAATATACTCCTAAATAGAGTGTGTCAGGGTAGTGGTAGCTCAAGCATCTCTGTGGCAGAAAGGGCACTCTGGTACCAGAGTCTGGAAATTCTGTGAAGTAACAGAATCACAGCAAACTAACATCAAACACCGTCAGAGCAATAGATGCCATTTTCTTCTGAAGTTGATTATATTATCTAGGAAGCATAAGTATTGGTCATTAGTATTCAGAAAAGCCTGCATGCAGTCCGAGGGGTGTGGGGAGCAGCAAGCCTGGAGCCTTTTGGTAGAACATCAAAGTCAGTCGATGTGAGCACAGTCTTTTATATTGTATTTGTACAGAGGAAGACTGAATCATGAGAGAAATGTAGAGTACGGAAGATCTTTCAGTACCATGGGCCTGATTTTTCACTTCTTTGCATCTTTGTGATTGGGAAAAGTGAATTCTGATGGCTACCAGAACTGAAGTGGGCCTTTTTACATTTCACTTTTCAGATAATTAAATGGATTTTCAAACCTTTCGGTGGGGAAGAATCAGTTCTAATGATGTTTTTCCTTGTACTAGTGTGTTCCGGGATTTTTTTCCTACATGTGAGTATTCTCACTTAATGTGAGAATTATTTTGAGCTGTGAGTTCCACAACCATCCAGGTCTTGGAAAAGCTTTCCAGAAAAAAACTGATAAATATTGAAAAAAAATATATAAGATCATCAGGGGTTTTTCTATTATCTTTTTTTTCTCCCCAAAGAAAAGCAATCTGTAAAAACCCCTTATTCTTCTATTCTTCTAAAGAATAATTTGTTTCCTTTTTGGTATTTTTCAAATGGGTGGAAAATCATTTTACAGAAGGGCAGTTTTTAGTGTGCCTTATAGTTGAATGGGACCAACTTCAGTGGTAAGACTATTAGAAAGTAACGGGCGATGATGAATGTAACGTAATTAAGACAATGAGTTTAGAGAGGTGGTTTATGAAAGTTTTTGGTGTGTCAATGCAGTACAAGTGGAGAACTTTCAAAGATGGTGATGAGCTAAATTTGAATAAATTTGCACTGGTTAGTATCAATTTGGAGGCAAATTGAAGAAAGATAGAAATTCTAAATGAATTTCTAAAACTAATAAATGTGAAAACATGAAGTCCTAACCCACACCAAAATAGCTCGCAGCATTTCGATGTTATGGATTCAGAGGAGGTTGGTGATTTTTCTGTGTCATTGAGCCATGGTGCAAATTGGCACTATTGCGTGCGGGTGTTTTGGGCTGATGGGTGTAGTGTAGGCTGCCCCCTCTGTGGTGTCTCAACAACAAGTTCCACGTTATTATTAATATTCTTGCTGATGAAGATAAGCATAACTGAATATAACCTTTAGTCAAAACCAGATGAATTAGCTTTTGTTTTCTATGTTTATCAATTGTATGTTTTTGATGTATCTGCCTGATAAATTTGAAGTAATTGTACTTAAGAGGTGTTTCTATTTCATAGTTAATCACAAGATTTCTAAATATGTTCGTTATAAAGCACATTATAATCACGAGACACACATGTTATCTTTTTTTCCCTCCAACACACACAGGTTGCTGGAAAAAAGGAATGTGCAATGGAGATTGTTAATATGGAAGTATCCTAAGAAATGGCATACCATTTGAGAAAATAAACACACTAGATTTTGGCACAAAGGATAATTAATTTTACCATGAATTAATGGAGACAGGTAAGCTGAAAATCACTTTTCCTTCTATTCTTTCGTTCATTAATATCGCGTTTCTACTAAGGTCTGCTCTTATTTTCTTTCCAAACTTTATTCTTGGCTGTTCATCTGTAACTTTTCATAGAATCATATGTGGTTATGTACGACAAAAAAATGTTCCAAGAGGTGATTGGTAATCAATTTTTAGGACAGGTCTCAAACTCACTTTTAAATGGGTAACCATAGGCTCTCCATTGGTAGCAGAAGTAAATGATAGGGAATGGCTTTCTTGGGACTCCTCAGTTACTCTTGTAGCCATGTTTTTTTGTGCTTAAAGCATATTCTGGATCTGAATTCCAGTTGCATCAATAACGAAGAAAGCGTTTGGAAACCTCTTGTATGGTCTCTTCTTCTTTCTGACTTCTGCAGCTTCATAAAGTAATTAAAGGAAGCCAAGGCTGTATGCTGTTAGAGCTCCAAGCTAAAGAGAATAAGCATTAAGCAACATAGAATGAATTTTTAAAAGGCACAGCCTCCTTCCTTTTTATCATGTTAGTATCAGAAATATACTCCTAAATAGAGTGTGTCAGGGTAGTGGTAGCTCAAGCATCTCTGTGGCAGAAAGGGCACTCTGGTACCAGAGTCTGGAAATTCTGTGAAGTAACAGAATCACAGCAAACTAACATCAAACACCGTCAGAGCAATAGATGCCATTTTCTTCTGAAGTTGATTATATTATCTAGGAAGCATAAGTATTGGTCATTAGTATTCAGAAAAGCCTGCATGCAGTCCGAGGGGTGTGGGGAGCAGCAAGCCTGGAGCCTTTTGTTAGAACATCAAAGTCAGTCGATGTGAGCACAGTCTTTTATATTGTATTTGTACAGAGGAAGACTGAATCATGAGAGAAATGTAGAGTACGGAAGATCTTTCAGTACCATGGGCCTGATTTTTCACTTCTTTGCATCTTTGTGATTGGGAAAAGTGAATTCTGATGGCTACCAGAACTGAAGTGGGCCTTTTTACATTTCACTTTTCAGATAATTAAATGGATTTTCAAACCTTTCGGTGGGGAAGAATCAGTTCTAATGATGTTTTTCCTTGTACTAGTGTGTTCCGGGATTTTTTTCCTACATGTGAGTATTCTCACTTAATGTGAGAATTATTTTGAGCTGTGAGTTCCACAACCATCCAGGTCTTGGAAAAGCTTTCCAGAAAAAAACTGATAAATATTGAAAAAAAATATATAAGATCATCAGGGGTTTTTCTATTATCTTTTTTTTCTCCCCAAAGAAAAGCAATCTGTAAAAACCCCTTATTCTTCTATTCTTCTAAAGAATAATTTGTTTCCTTTTTGGTATTTTTCAAATGGGTGGAAAATCATTTTACAGAAGGGCAGTTTTTAGTGTGCCTTATAGTTGAATGGGACCAACTTCAGTGGTAAGACTATTAGAAAGTAACGGGCGATGATGAATGTAACGTAATTAAGACAATGAGTTTAGAGAGGTGGTTTATGAAAGTTTTTGGTGTGTCAATGCAGTACAAGTGGAGAACTTTCAAAGATGGTGATGAGCTAAATTTGAATAAATTTGCACTGGTTAGTATCAATTTGGAGGCAAATTGAAGAAAGATAGAAATTCTAAATGAATTTCTAAAACTAATAAATGTGAAAACATGATGGATGTAGACTTGTCTGATTTTATATTTATTTTCTCTCTCTCTCCCTCCTAGGAAAAAATAGTTAAAACTAACTTTGTACTATAGGTATCCATTCTGTTACTGCTACTTGTCTTTGAGAATTCCTATCTCCAAGCTGTGTACCACCTGCGGGGTGGAATTCTCCCCATTTATTTATATATGTCTTGCAGCTTCAGGGTTGTTTTTTTTTAAATACTATTTACTGACAGGTCCCACCAGGAATTTTTTTGACTAATATATAAAATTCCTCAAATTATATTTCTGGGTATAGATAATACCACTGTCAGTTTTAGAGAAATATTTTTTAAAAGTACATTTTAGGATTGCTTGCTTATACTGCAGAGGAGAATTGTTGTGCACGGATTAACATTAACATTCTGTAAAAGTCTGCTTGAAATACAGGGTATGTGCATTGCTTGAGAAAGCACAAGTACCAGATGTGGTGTTTGGATCATCTGGCTGCCCATACTATTCTCTTTGGGATAAAATGAGAAATCCCCAGGCTTGTGTATGAGGTTTGCCTGGCAAGGGTTTGGTAGTGGGGGGGCTGCAGGGATGGCTTGTGTGAGAAGCTACCAGAAGATTCCCCCATGTCCAATAAAGCCAATGCCAGATGGCTCCAAGATGGGCCCACCGTTGGCCAAGGCTGAGCCCATTCTCAATGGTGGTAGCGCCTATGGTATAACATATTTAAGAAGGAGGAAAAAAACTCATGTAAGAAGAGCAACAGTGAGAAGAGAGGACTGAGCAGATGTGAGAAATCCAACCTCTCCGCAGATACCAAGGTTGGTGAAGAAGGAGGGTGAGGAGGAACTGCTCTGGGCACCGGAGCAGAGATTCCCTAGGGATTAACATTAACATTCCGTAAAAGTCTGCTTGAAATATAGGGTATGTGCATTGCTTGAGAAAGCACAAGTACCAGATGTGGTGTTTGGATCATCTGGCTGCCCATACTATTCTCTTTGGGATAAAATGAGAAATCCCCAGGCTTGTGTATGAGGTTTGCCTGGCAAGGGTTTGGTAGTGGGGGGGCTGCAGGGATGGCTTGTGTGAGAAGCTACCAGAAGATTCCCCCATGTCCAATAAAGCCAATGCCAGATGGCTCCAAGATGGGCCCACCGTTGGCCAAGGCTGAGCCCATTCTCAATGGTGGTAGCGCCTATGGTATAACATATTTAAGAAGGAGGAAAAAAACTCATGTAAGAAGAGCAACAGTGAGAAGAGAGGACTGAGCAGATGTGAGAAATCCAACCTCTCCGCAGATACCAAGGTTGGTGAAGAAGGAGGGGGAGGAGGAACTGCTCTGGGCACCGGAGCAGAGATTCCCCTGCAGCCCGTGGTGAAGACCATGGTGAGGCAGGTTGTCCATCTGCAGTCCATAAAGGGTAAAGGTGGAATAGATGTCCCCTTGCAGCCCATGGAAGTTAAACGTTGAACAGATGTCCACCTGCAGACCGTGGAGGTTAATGGAGGAGCAGATGTCTCCCCGGAGCCCATGGAAGTTAAAGGTGGAGCAGTTGTCCACCTGCAGCCTGTGGAGAACACCACACTGGAACAGGTGGATGCCTGAAGAAGGCTGTGACCCTGTGGGGAGGCCGTGCTCCTGGCAGGAGCTGTGGCCCCATGGAGAGAGGAGCCCAAGCTGGAGCAGGGGACTTCTGACCACATGGAAGACCCACGCTGGAGCAGACTGTTCATGAAGGACTACACCCCATGGGAAAGACTCATGTTGAAGAATTTAATGGAGAACTGTCTCTTGTGAGAGGGACCCCACGGAGTGTGAGGAGTCTTCCCCCTGAGGAGGAAGGTTTGGCAGCCAATGTGTGATGAACTGACCCCAGCCCCCATTCCCCGTCCCCCTGCACCGCTGGCAGGGAGGAGGCAGAGAAAATCAGGAGTGAAGTTGAGATGGGGAAGAAGGGAGGGGTGGGGGGAAGGTGTCAAAAGATTTAGTTTTTATTTGTCATTGTCCTAATCTGATTTGATTGGTAAGGAATGAAATGAATTGTCCCCAATCCGAGTCTGTTTTGCCCGTGATGGTCATTGGTGAGTGATCTCTCCGTGTCTGTGTCTTGACCGTGAGCTTTTTGCTATATTTTGTGGAGGGGGGTGACAGAGTGAGCTTTGGTGGGCACCTGGAGCCCAGCCAGGGTCAACCCACCACAGCTTGTCATGATGATGCAGGGAGGTATTAAAGAAGTTCACCTTTTTTTTCCCCCTTCAGCTCAAACGGGAGGTTTGCAGGTACTTCTAGAGCAACCAAACCATGTTACCTAATATTTGACATAAATTGGACAGAACCATAGTGCAATACATCCACTTGTTATGGTTTTGCCATTTTTTTCATAGGTGGCTTAAATCTACTTAATACCATAGTGATTAAACAAGTTTTGTTGTAACGGAGACAGAAATTGGAGTTAATGACAGTTTTTATCAGCAAGAAGTGTTCAGGTGCATTACCTATACTTCAGCAGTCAGGGGTTTAACCACATGCCTTCATAAAAGCCTTAGCAACCAAAAGTAACTTTATCTCCTTCAGCTGGTGTAACTTGAGGGCATGGAAGGTTTAATACTCGGCACTGGTGAGGCCTCAACTCGAGTACTGTGTCCAGTTTTGGGCCCCCTACCATAAAAAAGACATCGAGGTGCTGGAGCGGGTCCAGAGAAGGGCGACAAAGATGGTGAGGGGTCTGGAGAATAAGTCTTATGAGGAGAGGCTGAGGGAGCTGGGGGTGTTCAGCCTGGAGAAGAGGAGGCTGAGGGGAGACCTTATTGCTCTCTCCAACTCCCTGAAAGGAGGGTGTAGAGAGGTGGGGGTCGGTCTCTTCTCCCAAGTCACAGGCGACAGGACAAGAGGAAATGGCCTCAAGTTGCACCAGGGGAGGTTCAGGCTGGATATTAGGAAAATTTTTTTTACTGAAAGGGTTATCAGGCATTGGAATGGGCTGCCCAGGGAGGTGGTTGAGGCCCCATCCCTGGAGGTGTTCAAAAGACGGGTTGATGTGGTGCTGGGAGGGATGGTTTAGTGATGATGCTCCTTGTTTGTTGTGTGGGTGTCTATTTTTGTCAGTTCGGTTGACGGTTGGACAAGATGATCTTTGAGGTCCCTTCCAACCTAGAAGAGTCTGTGATATTTTCTAACCTTTAAACAGGAAGGGACTTGGGTAAAATGCAGCTCCCTTCTGAAATTTTTTGTCCATCTAAAATTGTTTTTTTTTTCAATGGAGCAAACCTTTCCAAACATGTCTCAGAAAGCCCTTAGGCTGAGCTGTGTCTTTCTCCTCCACCACCTAAGAAGATAAATCGATGTGCCTGAAGCGTTTTGCTCT